AGCCCCCACTTTCTGCACCCCACTTTCCTGCTCTCTCAGCTCCCCCAAATCCCAGGAGACTTTTCTCTACCCCACTTTCCCCCACTGACCACCCCCACCTCCCCTGCCCCTGCCCCCACTGCCCACCTTCACCTGTCCCCACTGCCCACCTACAACTTAATCTCTTGGCCAGCTGTCTGCTGCCCTTGAACCTTTCTCCCCTGGCCCTGGGGGTTCCTGTCCACCTTCTCCCCCAGGACCCCCAAGGCCCCGCTTCCAGTCCAATGCTTTCTGTCACTGCAGAGGGACAGGGCACCTGGGTGATGTGAGCAGAGCAGGGCCTCCATGCAGCCATTCCTGTCCCCCCACCAGGTGTGGGTCCCAGAGCTGTGCCCCCTCCTGGCCAGCCGCTTGCCTCTCTGTGCCTGGAAGCTGGCTACTTCCAGCCCTTCCCACCCGGCAGGACAGCAGGGCTGGGCATGACCTCACCCAGCCACCCTGCTAGAGGGGTGGGGAGAGGCTCCCAGCCAGGTCTGGCCAGTGTCAGCAGCGTTTCCTCCCCCAGGCAGCGTTGAACCAGCTGTGGGTCTGGTGCCCTGCTGCTTCCCCAGGAACAACAGTTTGCTGGCCATGACCATGGGCACTGGGGAAGCCCTGGGATCCCGGGAGGTGGGGCCCGCCACTGCTCACACACCCTGGAAGTTACACCTGTGGACAGTGAGCGGATCCGGCCAGGGGGTAGCGGGCGACAGGACGAGGACAAGTCCTGGAGAGAAGCCTGCTTTCGGTTCCCAGATATCCAGCTCCCACTCCACACTAGGCACCATCCTAGCTAGGTGCTGGGATGGAGCTGTTAACTAGACAGAACAAGGCATCAGGGAGCAGACATTCGAGGGCGTTCTAGGAGACTGAGCTGTCGAGGAGCCAATGAGCTGTTGAAGGAACGAGAAAATCCTTCCATGATGCGCGTAGCGTGGACAGTGAAACTGGATGTTGTAACAGAGGCTGGCTGGCGGGGCTCCTGTGGCCAGGGTGGTCAGGGAAGGCCTCTCTGAAGAGGCGACCTTTGAGTTGAGACCTGAATGAAGTGGCAGAATGAACTTGGGACCATCTGAGGGAACAGTGTTGTAGGCAGGGAACAGCAGCAGTGGTCTGCGTGGGCAGGAGTTAGGCAGGTTGAGAAAGAAGAAAGGCCAGGGCCCTAGCCGGTTTGGTTCAGTGGATAGAGCATCGGCCTGTGGACTGAAGGGTCCCAGGTTCGATTCCGGTCAAGGGCACATGCAGGGTTGCAGGCTCGATCCCCAGTAGGGGGGCATGCAGGAGGCAGCGATCAATGATCCTCTCTCCTCATTGATGTTTCTATCTCTCCCTCTCCCTTTCTCCTCTCTCTTCCTCTCTGAAATCAATAAAAATTAAAAAGAAGAAGAAAGGCCAGCGCAGGGGGAGACAAGGGTGGGGTGGGCGGACCAGGGGAGAGCAGAGCGCCCGGCTGGTGTGGAAACAGCACCACTTTTCTAACTTAAGGGCCAGGAGACAGGACTGTTCAGATGTCCCCCGTCCCATGGTTCCTCTGCCCATCTGGGTGTTCGATCTCTTTGCCACCCACCTTTGGATGAGGCCGGCAGTGTTTTAGATGGTGGTTCCTTGTGGGAATTTGCAAGGGAGGATGGGGGGGCGGGGGAGGTGGAAGGGGGACCCCTCCTGGATCCGATAGAAATCACACTCTGGGAGAGAGGGCCAGACCGGGTGCTGGTGAGAATCCTGCCCACGGGGTCTCTGTGGGGGGTGGAGAGAGTGAGACAACCGGGAGCCAGGTGTCCAGGTAGGGATGTCCCCAAGCCCGATAAGATCCCATCTCTCACGGGTGGGAGGCCCAGCCAGGCAGGCAGCACTGCTGCTCTGTCATTGGTTGCCAACAGCAAGAGTCGCGTTTGTTCTGGAGCCAAAGCCTCCGGGCAGAATCCAGGTGCTCAGAGGGGGTGCTTAGGGAGGCTGCCCCATGGGGCAGCTGGGCAGGGGAGCCCCGGCCCTCCCTCTGCTGGGCACCACAGAGTCCCCCTGCCCCCTCCCACAGGACACCCGCCCTTTCCTGGGGAGAGGGCCGGCTCAGCCCTGCTCTCTGTGAAGGAGCCGGGGTGGCCTGGCCCAGGGCTGGTGCTGTCTCAGCTGGGATGGGACATGGGGGCCCTTGTCCCCCCTGCAGTGGTGAGGGGGCTGCTGGTCACCCTGCCTAGCTTCTCTGGGTGCTCAGAACAGACCTTCTTCCCTGCTGCAGGCTGGTGAGAGGCCGAGCCGGTGGGGGCTCAGGAGACAAGGGGAAGTGGCCCCAGACGGCAGTTCCTGGCCTGCACAGTTCACCTGGGGCCATTTCTCCAGCTTAACACCACGCATTCCCTCTGGGGTCCGGCTGGTTCCAGGCCCCCCACTGCCCCACCTGATCCCATCCCCTGTCAAATTTGTGGTCCATCTGTTGGCTCTTCTCCCTCCCTCCCTCCCTCCCGCCCTCCCGCCCTCCCTCCCTCCCCAATCCTCTTTGTTGTACTTACCCTTGCCCTTTGCCACCCAGGCTTCCCATGGAAGGTTGCTCGTCTGCTGGTGTTTCTGTGGGTCTGGTTCTAGGGTCAGGTGTGGGCCTATGGACAGACACGGCAGGGGTGCTCCTGAGAGCGTGGCCGCCCAGTCGCTGAGGGGATGCTGCTGGGAAGGTAGCGGGGCGCCAGGAAGGAGAAGCCCTCCCTGGGCAGGTGGGTGATGGCTGGTGATGGTGGTTCCGCAGCCTTTGGCTGGGTGGCAGCTCTTGAAATGAAAACGGCCCTGGTTTCCGAGGCAGAAGCTCTGGTTCCAAAGTGGACAGGCAGGAGCCTTGTGGATTTATTTTCTCACCTAAAGCAGGTGGGTTTGCCCTAGCTGGTTCGGCTCAGTGGATAGAGCATCGGCCCTCAGACTGAAGGGTCCCGGGTTCAATTCCGGTCAAGGGCACATACCTCAGTTGCAGGCTTGATCCCAGCCCCGGTCGGGAGTGCGTGCGGGAGGCAACCAATTGGTGTGTCTCTCTCACATCGATGTTTCTCTCTCTGTCTCCCTTCCAATCTCTAAAAATCAATGGAAAAATATCCTCACGTGAGGATGAACAACAACAACAAAAGTAGGTGATGTATCCTCGTGTTTTTTTTACTAACGGGGAAACTGAGGCACAGAGATGTGAAGTGGCTTGCCCAAGCTACCCATCCAGCTGGATTCAGGCTCCTGGCTGTGCCCCCCTGCGGGCTGCCATGAGGGCACCCCGGGGCTGGTGTTCCCTTGTCGTATGCTCTGGAAGGGGCCTTCCATGCGGTGGCCCCACAGCCGGGGGCCAGCCTGCTGTCATCTTGGAGGGGACTCTGTGGAGCTGGTCCTTGCTGGGGGTGGTGGGGGCAAGGCAGCCCCTGGGCAGGCCGTGGAGACCCATCTCTGACTGACAGAGCCCGGGTGAGGCAGGGCTGATGGGGGCCAGTGCCAGGGAGCGGGCCCCAGACCAGACCACTTGGGCATCCCACTTGGGAGGGTCTTGGATCCGGGTCCGGGAGAGAGGGGGTGACCTGGCAGGGAGGCGCTGAGGTGGGGCTGAGGAGGCTGCCAGCGTGTGGGTAAGAGGGTAAGATCGGGGAGTGTCACCCTCCTTGCCCGCCTTGTTTGCGTGTGCCCAGGGGGGCCGTCCCATCTGTTCCCTTGTTAGGGACTTAACAGACAGGCTTCCAGGAGATTAATTAATGCCAAGCTGCTGGCACATCCAGCAGCATGCCTGCCCCAGGCTCTGTCCTGGCAGCACAGATGCCCTGCTGACTCCAGAAATGCTGCTCCTTCCCACCCGGCGATCCTGGAAACGTGGGGGGCATGTGGCTGGCACAGCCCTGGCCCTGAGTCTGGACGGCAGGAAGGGCTTAGGTCGTGGCGAGCAGCCAGAGACGGTCGCAGGACATTCCTCCCTGGGCCTGGCCCTCACCCACCCCGAAACTTCTCATTTGTCCCTGGCTGTGCCCTGGGCTTGCTGGGTGACCACAGCCATATTGCTTAGCCTCTCTGAGCAACTTTATTTTCCCATCTGTAAAAGGGGTGTTGAACTGGGTCATCCCTGAGGACACCCCGCCCCATGTCTGAGTCTGAGTCCTCGTTATCTGTTAATTATCTGATTCGGAGTAGCCCCTGCTGGCACTCCCATTGCTCGCCCCATATCGACTTCCCCTTGGCACCCCTCACTGTCATCTGGCGGTGTCCTCTGCCCCAGGCCCAAGTGATGGCTAGTTCTCCTGCCCGTGCTCCTGGGGCACTGCATGGCCCGGCCAGACCCTGAGCTTCCCAGCAGCATGGCTCTACAATGGCCACCTCCAGCAGGCCCAGCACATTCCTCAGGCTTATCTGGGGGCCCGCCCGCTGGACTCTGCCCTCCCACCCAGGGAGCAACACCCAGAGGAGCTGCTGAAGAGTTCCAAGGGCTGGGGCAGGGCCCAGTGGGCTGGAGGTGCTCATTCTCAGCTTCCTGCCTGGGGCTGGAGAGAACCAGGTAGAGGAGGGGCGGGGGAGCGGGATGGGGAGGTGGGGTCTGCTGAGACCGGCCAGGCAAATTGTTCTTAACCTCAGGGAACGTGGGGTTCACTCAGACCCCAGACTCTGTGCCATCTTCTGGGGAACCCCCACCCCCATCTCTGGAAAGGTGCCCGTGGGCCTCCTGTGCTTGAAGGGGGCAAGTTGCCCTCCGCGTCTGCCCCGAAGTTGTAACAGGAGATTGGGCGGGACAGCAGCGCCGGGCACCTCCTCCTCCGGCCCCGCCTCCAGTGCGGGCCCAGCACGGTCCTCCCAGGAAGGGGTTAACTGCTAGCCCCAGCCTTGAGGGAGGGGACTGGGCTGGACCATTTTCCTCGCTGCCGCCTCCACCTCGGTTTTCCTGAATGGTTCTGTCGTCCAGGGGTGGGGAGGGAAGGGAAGGAAGAAGGGCGGGTGAAGTGGGGGGTGGGGGGGAGGAAGGGAGGGAGGAGTGTGGGAAGAGGAAGGAAAAAAGAGCGAGACAGCCAGGGAAGAGAAAGATGTCACTGCCTAAGCTCCCTGTCATTTCCATTTCCAGCAGGCGCCGGGCGCAGGAGCTGCTCGAACAATGCTGAGGCGGGCGAGGTGAGGAGCGGCCGGCCCTGCCTCCGCGAGGAAGCGTCGAAGGAGTGTCTCGAACAGGTGATCGGAGGAGCCGGAAACCGAGGCCACCTGGGCGGGCATCCCTCCCCTCTCCTCGGCCAGGCCCTGCCCCCCGGAGAAGGTGGGGAAACCATGGCGACCAATTTCAACGACATCGTCAAGCAAGGCTACGTGAAGATGAAGAGCAGGAAGCTCGGGGTGAGCCCCCCTCCTCGGGCCCTGCCGAGGGACAGGCGCTGGCGGGGTGCGGAGGACTTGCTCCGGAGCCTGGCGGGTTGGGGGTCCACAGCCCGGCATCGTGCATTTGCCTCTAGGCTTCTGGCCAGTGGGCTGCCTGGCATGGGTGCCCGGGCCCTGCCCTGCCTGCTGCAGCCCCCGCCCCAGCAGGATGGCTGGCATCCCAGCGGCTGGGCCAGTGGTGGCAGCCGATGGGCCGATGTGCCGGCAGCTCCTGGCTATTGTTGAAGTTGTCGCCAGGGCAGCGGCAGCGGCCGGAGCGCTGGAAATGCCGGGGTGTGTGCGCTGAGACCAGCTTCCCGTCCCCTCTCCTCTCCTCACTGCCGCCTCCCTGCCTCTCCCCTCCCCTCTCCTGGCCTCTTTTCTTTTAAGTACCTCCCGGCCGCTGCTTCCCATTGCTGTCTGTGTGGGTATTTATTTACGCATCTTCGGGTGTTGCTCTCACCGTTAAAGAAGTGTTTGAAAAGGACGGGGGCTGGTTGTGGGGTGCGCGTTGGTGTGAGGGGTGCAGAGGCTGATGTTGATGTGGTTTGTGGATGAGAACTTGGGGCCCGTGGCTCCGAGTTGCTCGTCTGTGCTCGGTGTTTGGCCCCGAGCTGGGGCTTGGAGGGCCCGTGGAGATGAAGCCTCGGACCCCTGGGTGTGCGCCCTCTCCCGCGTCCTGCCGTGGAGACCCTCAGAGGGCATGAGCAGGGACCGCAGGGACCAACTTCATGATCTTGGTGGGACTGTCCAGGAATTGCCCCTCTTCCTCTGAGACCCCCCCCCCCCCCACTCCCCAGTGAGGGGTCTGGCAGCTGCCCTTCCCAGTAGGATGGAAACCCTGGTGACAGGTGGCCCAAGTCTAGTGTTTTACCTGGGCCTCTGGTCCCTCCCTTCTTCCCTCGCCCATGGCCTTGATGGGGTGGGGGTGGGATCAGACTGCTCCAGCTTCCTGGCCCGGCCTGAGTGGGGTGGGGGAGGAGCAGGGCTTCAAACCAGCTCCCCTGCCTGGGTCCTGGACCGAGCAGCGCTGGCCTTAGAGAGGGGATCCCCCTCCTGCCTGAGGGCCCCGTGAGGGTATGTCTGTCTGTCCAGCAGCTGAGCTGGTGGGCGTTTGCAGCCTTATTGGAATTTGGGTTTGTGTCCCACCCTGGGCCTCAGCCCAGGAGACTGGGCTCGGTGGCTCACAGCCACTGCTTTTACCCTGAGAGAGAGCTGGCGCCCACTTGGAGCACAGAACGCAGAGAGAGACTGAGGCTGAGGTGGGAAGGCCGAGTGGATAGGGGCCCAGTTTCTAGTGTGGCTCCTCCTCCCTGTGGGCCCAGACCTAGCAGGTCCCAGGCACTAGCTGGGCTGGGGCGCCTTCAGGATAAAGCCCACTTGGAGGGCAAGCCACTCGGCAGCCACGGGGCTCGGTGTCAGACCTGTTCTGGTAGACTGGGAACCTCCAAGGTGGGCACAGCCAGGGGAAGGGGGGTCGGGAGCTGGGACATGGCTGGGCCCAATCTGGGGTCTCCCCCCTCAGCGATTTGAGCTTCCCTATGCAGACTGATATGAAGAACTGCAGTCACCCCTCAGGACAGCCATTCTGGTCTCCGCTCAGAGGTGAGGGGGAGGGGCTGGAAGAGATCAGGCCCCCTCCCGGCCTGGGCCTTCCTCCAGGCTGAGCGGTGCAGTCTTTCTGAAGTACTGATCAAAGACCTGTGAGAAGTGGGGAAGGAGGGCTCTTGAGCGCAGTGGCTCCCTGGGGCTGTGTGTGTGTGTGTGTGTGTGTGTGTGTGTGGTGTGTGTGTCTCCCTGTAACCAGGCAACCAGGGTGCTCAGGCCCCCCAGGCCTTTTGCCCCTGACGCTGCAGGCTGCACGGAGCCCAACCTGGCAGGGCATATCTGGGTCATGCATCCATCCATCCATTCATTCAGGGTCCCGTCATAGGGCCATTCAGAGCTCTGTTAACGAGGCTACCAGGATGTGCGTGAGGATTCTGAGAATAAAACAGTGTTTGTCCACAGGAGGCCGGCTGTGGTTTAGGTAGATAGGCCAGGGGCTGAGCCGGGACCATGGGATGGGGGCTGCCTAGGCCCCCTGTACCCTGGGACTCTGCCTGCCAAAGGCCTGGTGCCTGTGTGGCAGAACGGGGCTGGGGAGGGGGCGGGGCTTGGGGCTATGGAGGCCCCCTCACCTCCTCTGCTCTGCCCCTCAGCCTCCCTACTCTTTGCCAGTGAGAGACCAGAGATTTCTGGGGAGTGGGTCCGCAGGCTGCTGGAGTGCCCACTGAAAGAGGGACATTCCAGCCAGACCCTGGGCCGAAAGAGAGCCCGAGCCAGGAAGGAGGGGCCATGGAAGGAAGAGGCGCAGCCGGGCAGGTGGCGAGGGCCACCCCTCACGTTGCCCTGTCGCCCTGGAGAGTGGTCTGCTCCTCCCTGGCGCTTTGGCCCTGGGCACAGGGTCACTGGCAGTATTTGGACAAGGAGAGACCCTTGATGGGGCAGGCACTGTGCTCCGGGTCACCCCAGGTTCCTGGGAGCCGCCGGTTTCCCAGCTGGAACAGGCAGCTGTCCCTGCCCCCTCCACCCAGGGCTGGTTAGAGAATGAAGAGTGTGAGTGGAAGCTCCGGGAGTCGAGGGGGTGTTGCCCGGCACCGAGAACAAGGGCTGTGACGTGCAGGCTGGCGGTGGAAGCGGGCTGATCCCTGCGCCGGGGACACCGCTGTTGTGGCTGGTGCTGCCGGAGCCTGGGCAGCGCTTGGCGTGCAGTGGGCTCGAGTTCTGGCCCCGGGTCTAGACAGCCTGTTACAGACCGACTGCCGTTTATCAGCTGTTACTTTACTTTTTGGTGCCTCAGTTTCCTTATCTACAAAGTGGAGATAATAGAACCGACCTCAAGAGTGACCCTGAATAACTGTGTAGAGTGCGAATACCAAAAAGTGCCAATAAGAGGCACTCCGTAAGCACATGTCGGTACTTACGTCACAGGACAAAGTCTTCCGACTCCTCCTCGTCCCTCAGTATCTGCAGGAGATTGGTTCCAGGGCCCCCGCAGGTACCGAAATCCACGGATGCTCAAGGCCCTTACATCACATGGCCGAGGACAATGCCTCCAGGCGGGCCTCTGCACCCAGATTCCCAACCACAGATACATATGCTGTATGTTTATTGGAAAAAAAAAACCCATGTATAAGTGGACCCCGTGCTGCAAACCTGTGTGGTTCAAAGGTCAACTGTGCACTGCGAGCCGAGCTCACAGTAAAGCGAGTGCACCTGGGGACCAGCCTTTCCGAGCAGCCAAGAAATAACTGCCTTTCAATGGAGCGGGGGACTCTCCCCCAGGGCCTGGCTGTCCTGCTGGTGTCAGCTGTCCCAGGTTTTCTCCTGGCCGGGCCTCCCGGATGGCTGTGCGGCACTGCCCCCTGCGGCAGGCAGCGTCACTGCAGGGCCATGTTGCGGGGAACGGAAGCCTGAGCCCCTGGTCCTTGTCGTCTTGCCCCTCAGATCTACCGCAGGTGCTGGCTGGTGTTCCGCAAGTCCTCCAGCAAGGGGCCCCAGCGGCTGGAGAAGTACCCGGATGAGAAGTCCGTGTGCCTCCGAGGCTGCCCCAAGGTGAGGGGCCTGGGCCCTAGCGCCCCTAACCTGTAAGCAGTGGGTCCAAGAGCACCCTCCTGGGGTGGCAGAGCGGTGGGGGGTGCGGAGAGAGGGGCTCCAACCTGGCTGAGTCCTTTGTGGATGCTGCTCCAGGTGACCGAGATCAGTAATGTCAAGTGCGTCACACGGCTCCCCAAGGAGACCAAGAGGCAGGCGGTGGCCATCATCTTCACTGACGACTCGGCCCGGACCTTCACCTGTGACTCAGGTGAGGCGCTGGGGCTGCAGACCTCCCTCCAGCCTCCACCGGGCCGGCCGTGCTTCCGTGGGCCAGTTGGAGAAGGCAGAGCAGGGCTGGCTCTGGCTGGTATGAGGGTTGGGGTGCCTTTGAGTGAGCAGGCCCCCAGGATGAGGGGGACAGGCCAAATTCACTGGCCTTGCCTCCCTGCCTCACAGGGCGGGCTAACTCAGGCCGAGTAGATGGGGTGGGCTCCGGGGAACCTGAGCCTGCAGCTCACAAGGTACCATTTCTCCAGAGCTGGAGGCGGAGGAGTGGTACAAGACCCTGTCTGTGGAGTGTCTGGGGTCGAGGCTCAACGACATCAGTCTGGGAGAGCCGGACCTCCTGGCCCCAGGGGTGCAGTGTGAACAGACAGGTGAGGCCTGGTGGTGGGGAGGAGGGGGCAGGAGGCCCCCCCGGGAAGCTCCGGCCCATTCATCCTCTCCCTCCAGATCGCTTCAACGTCTTCCTGTTACCCTGCCCCAACCTGGACGTGTACGGCGAGTGCAAGCTGCAGATCACCCACGAGAACATCTACCTCTGGGACATACACAACCCCCGCGTGAAGCTCGTCTCGTGGCCCCTCTGCTCACTGCGCCGCTATGGCCGGGACACCACACGCTTTACCTTCGAGGCTGGCCGGTAGGACCCTCTTGCCTCCCAACCCCGTCTCCCCACGGTCATGACGGTGGCCACCATTCACTCCACGTCAGGCACTGTGCTGGGAGCTGAAGTTAGTTATTGGTGTAACAACCCCAAAGGGAACATAATATTCCCATTTTACAGATGAACAAATTGAGGCTCACAGCCGGCAGGTCAAGTGAGAGTTTACCAAAATCAAACTCTTTGGGCTCAAATCAAATGCTGGCACTGACACCAGCCCCGGGGTTGTGGACCTGAGCCTGTTTCCTCGTCTGTCACATAGGGGACAAGAAAGTACCTAACTTCATGGAATTGTGGTGAGGATGGGTTCCACAGCGTGAACTCGGAGCCAGCGTACCTAGGCTTCAATTCCGTGTAATCCTCTGTGTAACCCTGAAGTTACTCACCCTCTGTATGCCTGTTTCCTCACTGCAAAGTGGTTTGAGAAAACCCCTAGAGATGAGGAAACGAATGGTGTACAGAGCAGAGGGGAGGGGGAGAAAATGAATGGGCTCATTCCTGTAGAGCATTTAGACCACCACCGGGCGCATCGAGACCGCTCAGAATGTTCGAGCCGCGGGTCAGACCCCAGGGTGACAGCCTGCCTGTTTCCCAGAGGGCGCGGGGCACAGGAGAGCCCAACCAAGCACATGTGTGGGTGCCACGGGGTCCCCACCACCTTGCCTTCCATGCCACTGTGTCCCCAGGATGTGTGACGCTGGGGAAGGGCTCTACACCTTCCAGACGCAGGAAGGGGAACAGATTTACCAGCGGGTCCACAGTGCCACCCTGGCCATCGCCGAGCAGCACAAGCGGGTCCTGCTAGAAATGGAGAAGAATGTGAGGGTGAGGCAGTGGGCGTCTCAGCCCAGGGTTCGGGGGAGGCTGGTGGGTGGGCAGGCCGAGCACCTGGAGTGTGCCAGGGGGTCTCCTCTTAGCGTGTCCACAGGAGAGGCAGGCAGGGTCTTGGGCTGGCTGCTTGAGGGCAAGCCACTGCCCCCCGGGCTAATGGGAGGGACCCCCTTTTCTGGCCCACAGCTGCTGAACAAGGGCACGGAACATTACTCCTACCCCTGCACGCCCACGACCATGCTGCCCCGCAGTGCCTACTGGCACCACATCACGGGCTCCCAGAACATCGCCGAGGCCTCCAGCTACGGCGGTGAGTCCCTGCAGCGCCCCTCGGCCACCTGCCACGAGCCTCTGTGGGAGACGAGGCCTTCTGGGCAGGGACCTTCCCACCTGGACCCGAGTCCTGAGCCTGCCTCTGTGTCCACAGGTGAGGGGCATGGGGGCAGCCCAGGCCAGCTCGGAAACGGACCTCCTCGACAGATTCATCCTGCTAAAGCCAAAGCCCAGCCAGGGGGACAGCAGCGAGGCCAGGACCCCCGCCCAGTGACAGCCGGGCTGGCGTGCACCCATGACTGCGGGGCTGCCCGCTGCGCACTGAGGACAGCCTCAGGGGGCTATTGGCCACGCGCCTGGAGAAAGGGAGCCGCTGTCCCTTCCTTGCCCCCACAGGGGAGGCTGGACCAAGGCAGAGGGCTGGCCACACTGCCTGAGCATGTGCGAGGGGCTGGAGCTACCGTGGGACTATTTACTGTTCATGATTTTAATATATACGGCTTATGACATATCCTGTATTAACGAGATTTCCTCCTGTCCCTCCCTGCCACCACATACAGTTTTGAATCCCATGACCAGGCCACCAAGGCTGGTTCTGAATGTCCTCCGTGGCACAGCCCTCCCGCTGCCAGGACTCGCCTGAGCTGCCAGGGCCGGAGGCAGACAATCAGAACTCAAGGCCGGTGCTGTCGGCAGGCTTCTCCCAGGAGCCAAGGGCTAAGACAGCAAGTGGCTTCTCAGTTCCTCTGGGCCTAGTGGCACAGGAAGGATCCGAACTCATGCGGTGCCACCTGCTGACATCTGGTTGACACCTCAGGTGAAAAGCTGGTTTGAAAAAGAAAATTTCTGCCCAGGCTCCTCCCTGCTTTGTAGGCTGAGAAGATACCTGTGGGCAGCAGTGCTGGTGACCTCAGCCGGGGGAGGCGGCCAGGCCAGGAGGGAGGGCCGGCAGGACTGCAGTGGGGAGCTGCCCTGCGGCCCCCTCTCACTGACCTGGGCCGGCAGTGCCCCTGCGGAGAGAGGAGAGGCCCGGCCCCCTCTCACTGACCTGGGCCGGCAGTGCCCCTGCGGAGAGAGGAGAGGCCCCTCTCTGGTCTGGCCACCCTCTGGCCAGAAAGGACTCAGAAACCAGCCCTTCCACTTCCTCCCCACATGGTGCTGAGGCTCCCTGCTGAGATGCAATTAAAGCAATTGACTTTCTAGTGCTGGTATTTATTGACTACTGGGCAGAAGGGCTATCTTTCTATCCACATCAAACCTTCGGTTATGTGTGTTGTGTTGTTTTTTTTTAAAAAAAAATACTTAGGGTTCTGATTTGTGGGAACAGACCTTGTTACCCTGATGTAAATAACCACTGTTCAAGTTGTGGCAGGAGGAGGATAAATAAGGCAGGAGGCCCCTCCAGCAGAGCCCTGGAGCCAAGGAGGTGGCCACAGCCAGCTCGGCTCTGAACGGAGCAGGGAGCGACCACCAGAGGCTTAAGCCTGCAGGAGAGCCCGCTGAGGCCTTGGAGGGGGGAGCTGCTGGCTCAGCGAGCAGCACGATGACGCATGAAGGAGATTATGTTGTGCTCTTTATTGCCAAAAATAAAAACTCTACTGTTAATAAATATCCCTTCCTTTCTGCACTGTATCTCCGGTTTTCTCCCATGCCTCCCGCCAGGCTGCCTAATTAACTGCTTTGGGTATGTTCCTCCCAACAGGACTAAGGGGTCAAGGCCAGACCTTCATTAAGACCCTTTCCCACCCTACCCTCTCCCCTCCCCTTCCCTCCCAACCCCAAACTAATTAAGCAGATCATTGGCAGTGAAGTCATAACTGATGGGTAGAGAATGAAATACAGGGTTTATTTAGGGGTGGGGTGGGGAGGAGCAGCCAGGGTCTAAAGACACTTGGGAATTTGAGCGAAGTGTAGGCTGACCATGGGGAGGGGCTGGGTTTGTAGGCGGCCTGCATGAGACTTCAAACACTCAATCCTAACAGCGGAAACCTAAGGTACAGCTGTGAAATGCTAACTTTCACACAGAAAGTAAGTCAAGAGCTGAAATGACCAGAAGAGGAGGGTCTAGTGCAGTGGTTTTCAACAGGGAACCAGTACGACCTCTACAAGCGGACCAGGGGGAGGGAGGGCTGGGTTCTGGGAGACCAGCCATCAGCAGGCAGGGCCAGGATGCTGCATGCTCAGTGAAGGACTGTCCTGCCTCAAATACCAGGGGCACCCCCGTAATCTACCTGGGACCAAGCCAGGCCGGGAGGGGCACCCTCCCCTCTGCTACCTCCAGTTGGGGCTGATGGCTGGCCAGGAAGTTCAGTACAGCTGTCGGGACTTTGGGGGTGAGGAGGGTCTCAGGAGACCTGCACACAGCTGCTGCTCGGATCCTGTTCCGCTCGGGCGGATGAGCTGCGGCTAATTTATGGTGAGGACATCACTCTGGATCTCGTGGCTCAGCTGGGTCTGTAAATCGCTCAGCTTCTTCTTCAGCCCGGAGAGGGCCGAGAGGACGATGGTTTCGGGGCGCAGAGAGCCACAGGACTCCACGTTGTAGTAAAACCTGAGGCGGGAGTCCAGTGAGAGCCGCCCCAGGGGCTGGTGAGCCTGAGCTGGGCCAGGGCCACCGCTCCCTCCTGAGTCTTAACTCCTTTCCCACCAGGAACTCAACCTGGCTCCAGGGTTGACCTCCGTCCTCTTACAGTGCTTCTTACAGGACCTCAAAGAGGCTACAGTCACCTCACAGATACTGTGAACCCCCCAAGCACTTCTGTATGGATGTGTCCCCCACTGAGGAGAAAGTGGAAAATGAACAAGCGGGTCGCACGGGCCAGCGTCTCTGTTCCTCCCTAGAAGACTGGTCAGTTTCTGGCCCTGATCTGACCCCATCTTTGGATGCTGCAAACCAGAACAGGAAGCGCTTGGATAACTGGAGGCCCCGCTTTTTCAGTGACTACAGGGGGACGCACCCATCTTGGGTTCAGCAGTCTTCAGCCCCTCCTCAGCTTTCTGGAAGCTGGGACATGAGGGAAAGGGTCACCCTAACTGCACCAAACTGTACGTTCCTACACATCGCACCGTCCGTGCTGGCCCAGGCGCTTACCTTTCCGGCTTGCCGTTGGGGTCGTACGGAGCCTGGGACTCATCTTCATCCAGCTCTGAGTACTCGCTCTTTGGCCTGAGATCAAACACAGGTCAGCACCCGGTTGTTACTGCTGCTTCCACCGGGCACCTGTGCCCACAGTGAGTCTGCCCATCTGGGTCACTAGGAGCCACGTCCACCCTACCCCACCCCCTCTAACCACCCGCCTTCATCCCCAGCGGGAACCTACCACTCCTCTGGCTTGGGGTACACTGTGTGCCTCAAGGCATTGTCGGGATCATATTCAAAAGCCACCCCTGCAGTCGGGTTCCACTTAGCATGTTCCTTGCCAAAGCCCTTCTTGGCATAGGCGCGGAGTCTCAGCTCCTGGCCCTTTCGCAGCTTGACAATGAGGATGTCTGTGGAGAGAGGTGGGAGTTGGTGCCGGGGCCACAGAGGCACGGTCCCCCCACATCAACCTGGAGTGCCACTGAGGGCCACACACATCTGGAAAAACAGACCAAAGGCCAGCTGTGACCAGGCAGCACGAGGCTGTCTGGTCTCTGCCAACCAACAGGTCAGGTAGCCATCTGCACACTCACGCCAGCCCCTTACCGTCCTGGTCCACGTAGTCATTGGGGTCGTTATCTCGGTTCCGGGATGTCACCTGCCGGAGCCCAAACAGAGACATTTAGTAGCCGCTCATCTCCCGGTCTCTTCTGGCAAGTACCTCCCAGCACATCCAGATCGCAACCTGCCAACCAGGGGCAGGAGTGCCTACTAGGACCAATCTGTGCTGGTGCCTGTACTCCAACCCCTGCTTCACGGCTTTGTGACAGTTCTCTGTCAAAACAGTACCGTGCCCTTTTATTTATTTTAAAACTGATCTGAGAGGAAGGGAGAGAGAGAGAATCATTGATTGGCTGCCTCCTGCATGCCCCCTACTGGGGATTGAGCCCGGGCATGTGCCCTTGACTGGAATCGAACCCAGGACCCTTCAGTCCACCGGCCGACACTCTATCCACTGAGTCAAACCAGCTAAGGCTCTACCGTGGCCTTTTAAAGGGGCCTGGGCGACAGAGGGCACACAGCACCAACAATGTCCGCCCACCCCAGGAGCCCAGAATGAGCATGTCCAGGCATCAGGGGTAACACAGGGCAAGGTGGTGCCTTAGGCGAATCCCCCCCAGTCGGGCCCACGCAGAAGGAGAAGAGCAAAGGGCCTGGGCAGGGCTGCCCTCAGACACTGACTGGAATGACCCGGGGGCTGTTGGAGATGAGGTCTCGAGACGTGACGTGACGAGTCTGGTCTTCGTTGCACCGCACGTCGAGAGTGAACTCCACCGAGCACTCGGGGCAGAACTCCTCGCACGTGCAGTCCTGAGGCAGGGAGAGAGCAGGCGTGAGTGTGGGGAGGGCGGGTCCTGAGCTCCCTGCTTGCGATCCCCAGTTCCTACTGTTTCCTCGTCTAGAAAAGGGCTGACCAGTCTCCAGACCCTTGGGAGCTGTCAATCTGGTAACCTCCTCCACGGCAGCACTTCCCAGGTTAGAGACAACCGTGTGTGCCGACACCCACGCTCCTGCCACACCCGTCAGCTGCCGGGCTGCCTCTGGGACACGCACTGTTCACATCTCAGCCTGGCCCTGGGCGTGTCCTTCCCAGAGAACTGCGGCGATCCTCTAGCTCGGCCTCCATGGACTAGGTGGACTAGCTCGGGAATAGAGTCATTTAAAATAAAGGGAACTAGGAAGGAGTACCTTTCAAATTCTAGGCTACTGACCTTTTCTTAAAACAAAACAAAGAAACTTTATATACATATATATATACACACATATATATACACGTATACATGTGTAAAATAAAGCAAATGTAGCAAAATATTAACAACTGGCAACAAAGGTCAAAAGTAGATGGAAATTTACCATTCTATTTCTTCAACTTTTCTGCAGATTTTCAGAAAAGCAAAAAAAAAAGGACCATTCCATCTTTCAGTAAATATAACACTAGAGAAAATTTAATAGCCCAGCCCAGTGATAGCGAACCTATGACACTCATTTTTTTGGTTGATTTTTCTTTGTTAAATGGCATTTAAATACATAAAATAAATATCAAAAAATATGTCTTTGTTTTACTATGGTTGCAAATTTCAAAAAATTTCTATATGTGACACGGCACCAGAGTTAAGTTAGGGTTTTTCAAAATGCTGACACACCGAGCTCAAAAGGTTCGCCATCACTGGCCCAGCCGGTGTGGCTCAGTTGGTGAGCATCGATCCATGAACCAGGTCATAGTTCGATTCCCACTCAGGGCACGTGCCGGGGTTGTGGGCTTGATCCCCAGTAGGGG